TCTATCTATCTATCTATCTATCTATCTATCTATCTATCTATCTATCTTATCTATGTATCTATCCTCACAACCATTTGTTTAACAACTGTTAAAAGATTTATTTATTTAGTAAACAAATTTATATTACCTCTCAGCTCACAATGAAGTTACAATAGCCTCAGAAAAAGTGATTTATGACCTATAATCAGAGTTACAACCATCATACTACCCCTGTAGTCACATGATTGGTGATTGTAATTTGGGCACTTAGCATTTGGCTCGCATTTGCAACCAGTTGCAGAATTCGGCAATCATATGATTAAGATTTGCAACCTTTTATGCTAATTTGTGACCAAAAAAATACCATTAGAGAGGTGCAATTAGTTTAATGATCTTAACAACCATAGTGATTTGCTTAACAGCTGCCATAAAAATTGTCATAAAATCATGTCCAATTATAACTTCAGCAATTCAGGATGGAAATTCCAATCCCAATTGTACTAAATCAAGGACCACCTGTATTTACCTCTTATTTATTATATTCATTTGCGTGCTACCTCCTAGCAAAACTATATTTATATTATAAGTAGATAGTATTTTTTTTAATTCCATTTAGGCCAGGCACTTGAGTTGAATGTCTGTTTAAATTTTCCGAGATCAACTTAAAATGTCTTTTTGGTAGGAGAATAAACAGAAGTTCTCTGCATACTTGGAAGAACAGTACAAAGTCAAAATTAATGCATCCTCTATGTTTGATGTGCATGTCAAGAGAATTCATGAATACAAGAGGCAGCTCCTCAATTGCCTACATATAATCACTCTCTATAACCGTGAGTTTTTTGCCAGCATCAATTTTTTTAAACTCTTCTAGATAACATTAACAATAATATTGTTACATCAGTATGGAAAAAATATGTCATACGAAAAGATCTGGGAAGCAAGCAGAAAGTAATCTGAAAAGATAATGGGAGTGTGTGTCTGTGTGTGTGCCTGCGGATATATGTTTGTAGAGCAGCCATTTCCTTTAATCCTGAATATAATGCTCCAGCAAGCTTGAACTTGAGATTCCTGGAAACTAGTCTTTGTTAAGAATGAAGAAGCATATTCAGGAAGCTGAGCCGAATTGCATACGTATAATTGAAGGCTTGATGAGATCAAAATCTTAACAGTGAAGCTTGTCATAAACAAGCAGACAAAAAAGATCATGTAATATTTCAACAAAAGGAAATTGGTATGATTGACATTTAATGCTAGGAATGTGATAAAATAGAATGGAATATTTTTTATTGGCCAAGTGTGTTTGGACACACAAGGAATTCGTCTCCAGTTCAAAAGCTCTCAGTATGCATACAAGTAACAGAGTGATAAAATATAAATCACAAGATATTATTATAAGTCATAAGATAAAACCAACAAGTGATAGCCATGAGATACCACTAGGAGTAGGTAAAAGGAAAGGTGAGAAGAATAATAGTAATACAGTCCTACTACATGATTAGATATTAGGCATAAGAAGAATACATGATTACATGTTAGGCATAACAGTACTGTGAGAATTACGTGTTTAGCAGAGTGATGGCAGGGGAGGGGGGGCTGTCTGTGTCTATAATGGTGTCCTGAGGGGAGAAGTTGAAACAGTTTATGTCCAGGATGTGAGGCCCTCTTTCTGGCTCATGCAGTGTACAGGTCCTCAATGGAAGGCGGGGTGGTTGAATTTTTTTCTCCAGTCCTAATTATCCATTGAAATCTGAACCTGTCCCATTTGGTTGCTATACCAAATCAAACAGTTATAGAAGTACAAATGACAGTCTTGATAATAGGAGCTTGGTTGCCAAGAGTTCTGCCTTAGTTTTGGAATATTCTTTGCCAGGTATTTTTAACCTAACATTAAAACAAGTCTGTTCACTCAGACATGATACAAAGTTGAGAAATTACAATGAGAATGAGACATCCTTGCTTATAATCTCACAGCAACTTAGGTTATTATTGATAAAGTATGTACTCCGTTTGCCAAGAGTTGGGAATAACTTTTAGGAAGACTTTTTCCCCAATGTGAATGGTTACCTGAAGGACTTCCAAAGTTGAGGTCCCTACCAGCAGATGCAGAAATGTATTTCCACTTGAAACCCCAAAGGTCTCCTTGAAAGTGTAAGGTTATGATATATGCAGAACCTGTTCAACAAGCAGAGTGATTTACTTTTCTGAACCCAAGTGCTAGACTGGATAACTTAGCTTTTCATTTCCTAAATTTGGATTCTTCCTGTTACACTTTATGATAATAAAATCCAAAAACAATTGCACAGCATTAATTTGATCTTTGTATAAATATTGCTATCCACAGAAATTGTTCATTGATGTTAATACTGTATCCATGCAACAAAAGGGAGAGTATTATTCCTGGCCAATTAATAAGTTTTTTTCAAAACTACAAATTCTCCCTTATTGGTCTATGGAAACAAGTATAAATTTGTCCTAAATTTTAAATTTTACATCATTTTATTGCTTTTTTCTCCTCAGTGATTTCTTACCTTGAAATAGGAGTTACAGATATCACAGAAAGCAATTTTGTGGAATTATTATTATTATTTTATTAATCATCCATTTTAAAAATCATTTTCCTCCATCTTAATTTTCTTGCTTTTTTTCAGGCATCAGAAAAGACCCTAAAAAATCCTATGTGCCAAGAACAGTTATGATTGGAGGAAAGGTAAAGAATTCCAATGTGAAGCTAAGTTTACTTCTAGTATTTAAGACTGCACATATATTTCTTCCTTCCACCCAATTACTGCCTGCCTACACACTTCACATTTATGTTAAAATTTGAGTTATTTAAGGATGCAAAAGAACTACTCATGCCCAATATTTTTAGTCTCTTTGTTTCCTTGTGTGATTCAAACATCCTATTTATCTGGAAACTCAGCATATTGAAATAAGAACTCAGGGAGATTGACAATTCCTATTGTGGTATGGATTTATTTAAGGTATCTACAAGTTGCAAACCTCAGCAAAGATTAAGAACAAAAAGGCAGATATATACAGCAGGGAGCCTTTTCTGGGATAGATTTTATATATAGAAGTCTTCATATATATCAATTTGTGACACTCTCTTCAGGAATTAGGTATTTCAGCTGAAAAATTCAAAAAATGGCTTCCTACTTCTTCTTCTTCATCATCATCATCATATAATAATAACAGAATAGTAACAGAATAAGAGACTTGGAGGGGACCTCCAAGCAGGAGACCCTATACCAGGGGTGTCAAACTCAAGGCTTGCAGACCGGATCAGGCCCACAGGGTGTTTAGATCTGGCCTGCGGGACCAGTCTGGAAATAGCAAAGGACCAGCCCACTGTGCCTCTGCTAGCAAAAATGGGGTGTGGGGAGGGGGTCCCCCGCAACCAGTTTTGGCTGCCAGAGTGCTGCAAGAGGCTTTCCAGTCCCAAAATGGGGCCTCCGGAGTGCTGCAGGAAGCTGCCTTTATCTCAGAAGGTTATAAAAGGGAGGAAAGGTAAAATATTTTACCTTTCAGGCTTGCAGGATTCTGCTACTATAGCCTATGTCAATAATTTATAGTTCTAGTCTTCCTATGGAGTCAGTTTCTTGATCTGGTCTCTCATAAGGTGATCAAGTAGATCAAATAAGTATTAAAAAAACAAAATCACAGAAATGTACGCCTCTCTATTTTTATAAGTATATAAAACCATGCGTGTGGAAGTATGGTCCCGTGTCACATCTACTATGGCCACGCCCAACATGGCCAACCCCACCAACCTCTTTGGCACTTGGAGGTCAAACACAACCCTGATATAGCCCTCCATGAAATTGAGTTTGACATCCCTGCCCTGTACCATTCCAGGCAAGTGGCTGTCCAGTCTCTTCTTAAAAACCACCAGTGATGGAGGCTTTTAAATAAATTCTGAGCAGTAGTTTCTTATTAAGAAATCCAGATGCTATATTTTGGTATTCATTTGCCTTGTGAATTTCATTACTCCTTTTTCTTTTTTTAACTCTTAAAATGTTTTTCCTTTTCATCCTCCAGGCAGCTCCAGGCTACCACATGGCAAAAAAGATTATCAGATTGATCACGGCCATTGGAGAAATTATTAATAATGACCCCTACATAGGAGATAGACTCAGAGTCATATTCTTGGAGAACTACAGAGTGTCTCTTGCTGAAAAAGGTAAGTCAGTTTTGGAAGCAGGTTGGCTTCGGTAGTGCATAATTTGTACCTTTCCAGATTCTGCTGATCTCCCTTTTCATGCTTACCTTGTTTATGGCTGTGCTGACTGAGATTGTTGAAAGTTGCATCTAAAGAGTTGCATACTGTGATCCATGGCTGACTGGCTCTTGTGCAAGAAAATATATCCCTTCCAAATGCAGAGGTATATGTGCAGCCCTTTATGACATACTGCTGCATCAATGAAGCAAACACTTAGGATGTTGAATTGCTTGGTCTACTCAGAACAGTAAAATTAGACCACACAAGGCTTGCTCGTGTTAGGTGCAGATACAAATGGTTTGTTTACAGAAGAAGAAAAAATACAGTCTTACCTATTTCTCTTTTTTCAATCCATCCCAGTGATTCCTGCCGCAGATCTATCAGAACAGATATCTACAGCTGGGACCGAAGCTTCAGGGACAGGAAACATGAAATTCATGCTGAATGGAGCCCTCACCATTGGGACCATGGATGGGGCCAATGTAGAAATGGCTGAAGAAGCTGGAGAGGATAATCTGTTCATTTTTGGCATGCGGGTAGATGATGTTGAAGCAATGGATAAGAAAGGGTTTGTAAATAAACTTTTCACCATGAACAGGCCATAAAAACAGGCTATGGGCATGTGATTGATTCTTTGGACCAGCAGGAAACTTCTCCTGAGCTTCCTCTGCTTCACCTTAGAGCAGAGGTATCAAACTCAATCCCATCGCGGGCTGTATCAGGATTTTGTTTGCCCTTGGGGGACTGCGTTGGGTGTGGCCTGGTCATCACAGCCGACTGGGTGTGCGGGTTAGGGCAACATAGGCTTAACATAGTGTAGAGATAGCATTGCCATCTCTGGGTCTTACCCGTAGGACAACTCTGGGCCTATCGTGGGCTGGATTTGGCCCACGGGCTGCATGTTTGACATCCCTACTTTATGGGAATTAGTCAGAGTTCAGTTTCTATTTTGACAAGGAGATCTCTATCTCACGTCTAGCAAGCAGAGCAGTCAGGATAGACCTGAGCACCTTAAGAGGCCATTTTTCTTCTCTGAATTCTCTCCTATGTTAATTAGAGTTTACTTATGGTCAATATCTCCGATAATGAGGAAAGCTTATGAGAAAATTCAATCATTGAAAACTGCTGTTGGAAATTGAGTAACCTTGTCATGGGAAGATTGGGGTATACATTGTGACAAAACTCTCCTTATCCATTTATATTAACATAAGAAGAACTTGCTACAGCATGAACAGAGTTTACATGCTCATCAAAAATAGGAACATTTTTGAAATAACTTGCAATTTCCACAAATTACTTTTCATAAACTGTATAAGATCCAATACTGATCATACCTTTATTAAGAATTAATATGCACCAATAGCCTTTTAATTTGGCATCAAGTCTGCCTTCTGTATTATTTCCAAGTCACCTATAATGTAGGCTGCTTGGGTGAGTATTGCCCTACAGCCTATATGATGTAGTGGCTAAAGTGTTGAATTAATGTCCCCCTTGATGATGGAGCAGTCTATTTAACCACCTGGCACTCACTTTCAGCTAGTCTTAATTCACTGTGGAAACCTTTGTGTATGTCACCTTCTATTCCAAGAAAAAAGGTGGGATGTAAATGCAATAAATAAATAATAATAGAAGCAGAAAAGGTTAAGGGTGTCCCTATTTTTCTGGTTCAGGTACTCTGCTAAGGAATACTATGACAGGATTCCAGAGCTCAAGCAAGTTATTGATCAAATAAACAGTGGCTTCTTCTCACCAAATGATCCTAGTTGTTTCCAAGATGTTGTCAACATGTTGATGTACCATGACAGGTAAGAGGCAGCAGTGGTGTGCTTTTACTATGAACTTTCTTTTAATGTCCTCAGCGTGGGTTTAAATATAACTTCCAACATCTCCAGCCATAACATTGATCACCATACTTGCTGAAAGGTAGAAAAACTGCAGTTCTTCCTCTGAGGCATACCATATTGGGGAAGACTACTATATATTGCAAACCCAGGTGGGGTATGACATACTCTCTATTGATAACATACAGACTCAGGCTTATTCCCTTTTGCTGTGAATTGGGCTCAGAAGCAAGCAGCAGCCAATGCAGAAACTTGAAGATAGGTGTAATTTTACCCTCAAAGAGTTAGCTGGTCAAGAGCCTTGCTGCACATTTTGAATCAGCTTTCAAGACACTCCCAAAGGCAACCCCAAATACAGCACATTACTATAGTCTAACCAAGTGGTGATCAGTGCATAGGCCATTTATTTTTAAAAGGTACCTGAAATTTAGAAAAAGAAAATGCTGTGGAATTAGTCAGCTAATGAAATAAAAAGATTATCTTAGCCAATCCTGATTTAAGGCTTTCTCAGAGAGGGAACTACCACAGAAAAAGTCCTTTGAAATTATGTTACATAGAAGAGAGCCTCACTTAAACTACTCAAAGGGGAAAGAAAAGCACATTCAAACTTGCCTTATTTAAAGCACAGCTACAACATATTTATTTACCGATGATTCTTTATGACTCTGACTTAACAAAATAAATGGAATTCATGGTTGCATTTATACTGTACTTTGTTTAGGTTTAAAGTATTTGCTGATTATGAAGCCTACATCAAATGTCAAGGGCAAGTGGACCAACTATACATGGTAAGATAGAGACTTTCCTCATAATTTGAACTAATTGCAAATTGATAAGAAAAGTTTCTTCATGAAATAACTGGAAATTATAACTAGAGCTCCTTGTATCTAAGAGTGAGCCCAATGCTGAAAATGGGCAGTCAGAATGTACATAAGTTTCATACATACAAAAGCATAACCACCTTATCTTATTACAGCACTTAGGGAAACAGCCAGCTCTTTCTGGCCTTCCAAAAATTAAAGAGGGCTGCCAGATCCTGGGTGGAAAGGTGCCCCACAGGATAGGGGCCTTAGAGAAGGGGCATATTTCTTGTTCCCACTAGATAGCAACATTAATGGGAAGGGACTTGGAACCCGGTCTGTCTGGCTTGGTGGGAAACAAACCCCTTGGAAAGAAGTGATCTACAAATAATCTTGCTCTCTGCCATGTAACCAGCATCTTGAATTGTACCTGGAAAGAAACTGGGAGCCAATGAATCTCACATGACAATGTATAATGTAGACAATCAAGAGATGCCCAGCATTGCCTCTTCTGCTACATTATGGACCATTTGTAATTTCCAAGCACTCTTCAAGGCATCCCCATGTAAGGCATTTTTCAGTGGTCTAGCTGTATCAAAGATAACACAGCAAAATTCAATTGAGTCCAATGCTTTGTTTACTTCCACCTAATGGAGAGGATCTTGCCTAATTAAAGCTATCCAATATAACCTATTAGATATATCCTGAGAAATTCTAGAGTGTGGTTACTTCGAACCTCTCCCTACCCCACCACTATCCAGCTTTGGACTGTGCAGACTCTTAACTGAGCCTCTCTCTGGGAAAGCTCTGAGTTGCCAAAATTCCTATCCACTAATACTCCAGGTGCATATTCCATCACATCTGGAAAGTTCCCAAAACATGAGTGAGCAAGGCCTCCCTGGTGGCATGTACCACATTAGAGGAAGAGTGTACCAAGGTGCCTTTATCCTTGAGTGGGATGCTGTTGGGCCCTGAGTTCCGAAAGATACCTAACTATATGAAATGTAAGAAATAAAAAACCATTTTGAAAGCGGTAAAATGTAGATTGAAAGGCAGTAATGAAGATCATTTATCTGGAATGGGGAACTCCAATTCCCAATCAATTAAAACAGGTTGGAGGAGAGTAGGCACAAGGATAAGAAGAGAACAACTTCCGGTTTGAAGGGCTTCGGCGACAGACAGAAATCCGCGATCGTGCGCGGTTTCGCTGGAGCGCCCCGAGCCAGCTGGTTTCGGGACTAAGCCACCCCGTAGAGGTGGTGAAGAGGGGGGGGACAGCCAGCAGGGTCGAGGAGAGCTGCATCTCTCCTCCTCAGCTGGCCATTACTCCCTTTCCCGAAGACGGTTGCAGCGGTGGTCAGAAATGGCCACCTCAAAGAAGAACTCGACCGGAAAAGAATATGCAGGAGGAAGATAAGAAGTGAAAGTTTTGGCTGACCGGGTTAAATTGTAAAAGCAACAACTAAGGTACCCTGGAATTTAAACTTACAAAAAATAACATCGCTCCCAAAGAAGAGTCGGAAGCAGCGAAGGAAAGTGAAAAGGGAAAGGTTTGGCTTTTTTCTTCTTCTCTCTCCTTCCCTATACTGACAACTAAGAGACTTAAATAAGAAATCGGAAAAATCCGCTTTGACATCAATAGGCAATTAAGCTGAAAATAAAACAAAATGCCAAAGGGATAATAAAGATTTCTGGACATTAAAAATTTTCTTTTTCATAAGCAGGAAGGGAGAGAAAAAGAATAAGGGCAGGATCTGGAAGAGGGAGGAGACTACCTGGAATTAAAAAGAATCTAAAGTAAAACTTCAACAAGACTTCTAAAAGATACATTTTAACTGAAACTTTGCAACTAAATAGTAACCCCAGGAAGAGAAAGTGAAAAAAAAAAGAGCAAAAAAGAAACAGCTTGCGTGTATTTGGATTATTTGGTGATCTTTGGATTCTTGGTTATTATATTTGAATGACTAAAATCAATCGGGTGGTTGTTTAAAAATTTATACAATGGCACCACTTCTGGATGAATTGAAAATAGAACTTAAAAAGTACAAAGAAGATGCACAAGAAGGGAAGGGTTCTTTTGGCTTCGTTTTTCAATTCTTAGAAATGGAGATTTGGAACTATGAGAAACAACAAGAAACGACTGCAAAACAAGAAGACTGGGACAAAGAGGAAGCCATCTTTAATGAACAAGCAATTTTATGTAGGAAAGAAAAAGGAAAGGGGGGAAAAAGAATGGAGAATTTAAGACTTAAAAAAACAACCAAAGAAAAGAAAAATAATTCGAAAAATAAGTATAATACTGGAAAGCAACAGAAAAGGGGAATACAGAAGAGAGAAATAGAGGTAGAGAAACAAGAGGGTAAAAAGGGGAGAGAGAAGAAGAGAGGGAAGAAGGAAAGGAAAATAAGTTACAAAGGACCGGAGCAAGATATAGAGAAACAGGACCTATTTAGAGATAATGGGTGAAAATCTAACTGAAAAAGGGATTCTGTAAAGGTACATAAGATTGTATTGTTATATTAGTAATAGAAATAACTTTAGAAAATTGGAAACAACGTATGATTAAAATGAGGGATAAAATAGTTGGTGTAATTTAGTGAAATGTTTGTGAATAAAATAAGTGAAATAAAATAAATGAGAAAATTGAATTAGGAAGGAACAGGAACATTTTAATTAGTTAATGTTTTATAAAATATAAGTGAAGAGCGGGGGGGGAATTAACTATGGAAAGCTTATAATTGTTCCCATAGAAGTATGCTATTTAATTGAAAAGTAATGTTAAAGATGTTAAGACTTTAATGAATATTAATATTAATGATAGAATTGAATTGGAATGGAATGTTTTAATTATATACATTTATAATTTTTTCTTTTTTTTAAGAATACAGTGTGTATTTTAAGAATGTACCAAGCAGAATCCGAATGGAAGTTATGTATTATATTGAATGTTACAACTTTAGGGAAAAGATATAAAGGCATCATACTCCAATCAGTAACTACAGGAGAAATTTTGTTTAATGAGAAAAGATAATAGATAATTGAAACAGGACAGACAAAAAATATAAAAACAATGATTCGAATTAAGATGAGATAATTCAAATAAAATTGAGAAAATTAGAAGAGGGGAGAAGCTATGCAGAAAATGTAAAATAGTAATAAGATATGGAATAGAATATAAAAATGAGCATGAACCTGAATTTGTGTCTGTACAAAGAAATGTAACCTGGGATTACGCTACTTTCAAAAAAGATGTTTTGTATTTTTGTATTTTTTTTCTCTTTGTGAAAACTCAAATAAAATTTACACACAAAAAAAGGATAAGAAGAGAACAAACAGGAGAAACCACAGATAAAGTTTATTACAGCTCCAAGACTGAAAGTTATTAATTCTGGCTCTGAATTCATCACTTCTGGAAGAACTAGTTGTCCAATAAATAACAAATGATCTTTCCACTATTAAAGGTCTGAAGATATCAACCTAATAATCTCTTTCTTATTTCTTAGAATCCTAGGAAATGGACTAAAATGGTAATTAAGAACATTGCATGCTCCGGCAAGTTTTCCAGTGACAGGACAATTACTGAATATGCCAGAGAGATCTGGGGAGTGGAACCTTCTGCTGTGAAAATTCCTCCTCCAAACATACCTAGAGAGTAAATCTGCCATTAGAAGGTGCATGCAATTACCCTGATGGGCTTCCTGCTGCTGCTGCTAAGGTATACCTGCTTCCCTGTGACTTTTCTGCAGATAAATTCAATCATGTATTTTACCACACTTTGACTTGTTTCATCTTTATAAGCATATAGCGGAAATGAGAGCAGCTGGTGCTTCAGATAGTTAGAAATAGTTGACCAAAACGTATAGGCTGTAATAAGATTCAAGATCTGAAACAGAAAGTTTAACACCCCCCCCCCCCCAAAAAAAAAAAAGATGTTATAATCTTGCCTTCTTTTAAAAATCCAGTATACCAATGTTGTTTATATGTATCCATGCATTATATGCTGAGGGGCTCCTCAAGTCCCCAAACTTGTTAATTCCTATGGCAGTTCCCAATTGGTCAGTCAGAAGTGCCTACAAAGTCCAGAACTGAATGGAAAACATGATTCCACAGGGATAATAAGTGTTGCCTTCTGGAATGGAAGCTAGACTGGAACCCTTCTATAACCAAGGAGAATGCTTTTTCCACATAACTCATCTTGAAGTCACTTCTCTGTCTTAATTGCAGTGGTGTCTGCAACAAATTGAGGTTGCATCAAAATGACACATATATGGTAGCATCATGACATAAATGTTGCTCTTAGGTACTTGTATTCTGATGACTAACATAAATGTCCAGTTGTGGGTTTAGCATTCTGACACACGTTTCATTCCTTGTCCCTCTACCCCCTCCCCTCCACACCTGTGCTCATTAGGAGAATCATTGCTGATCCCCAGGACAGTTCTTTTTAATCCAGAATCATTTTAAGTGACCCGTTATCAGAAATGGAAAAAATCAGGATACTTTTTCCTATAGGGCCATGGAGTTCAAGGGGGTGGGGAGGTTAAAGGCACCAAAGAACTGTTTGCTTTCTTCTAAAATGAGGATTCTTGAATGCCTTTTTGTGATTCATAAAGTTAGCATCCAGTCTAGTGCCCTCAAGATGCATTGGGACTGCCCAGTCAGCCCAAATTAAATCAAATTATCGCCCATATTTTATGATCTGCTAGATTCTGGATAATTTTCAGAGCAAGTGGCAGTAAATTAAAAAAATGAGACATTTGCTTAGTCTCATGGTAGATTGCTAGGCCTTGTTTTAGGAACTAGACCAGGGGTGCCCAACCTTGGCAATTTTAAGACTTGTGGACTTCAACTCCCAGAGTTCCTCAGCCAGCAAAGCTGGCTGAGGAACTCGGGGAGTTGAAGTCCACAAGTCTTAAAGTTGCCAAGGTTGGACACCCCTGAACTAGACTTTCTTTATCTGTGCATGTTTCAAATTGTGCAGTTATATGACTTATTTAAAACAACCTTATGTAAAGAGCAGACACTGAAATATCTGTCACTTCTCATAGTGAAACCACTACCATCCAGAGTTTTTCTTGAGTTAGTGTTGTCTCTAGATGTCACATTTTTAGTATTTTAAAAGTATATTGGGAAATCCCATTTTAATTTCAGGCAATAGCATCACATTTTTGGGATTTATCAGGTGTTCTAGCCTGGGTTGCTAAATAAATAATTTTTTTCTTTTTTGCAAATGCTGAGGAAATTGACTATGTTTTAGAGCCCAATAAATCCTTAAATGGCAACTTTATTTGTAAATGACCAGAATGGAAATGAATGTATGTCCTATAAGCTTCCAGAACAAAAACATTAAACAAACATGCTGTTTTCCTTTTTTAGACTTCTTAGTAGAGGCATTATCAATCTAATACCAGGTCAAAGAAATAATGAATATAATCTACAAAGTATTCCTTCTCTAAGCTCATGCCCTCCAAATACCCTGTAGTAGCAACTCCTTACTGGCAGGAAGTTATATAGGAGCAGGAGGCCAGAAACAGCTGCCTAATCTCTGCCTTTCCCTATATTAATTTTTAGGATTGCCCCATACGGATGAGAATACAACTTTATCAAATGTAGGAAACAGTGACCACAGTTTTCTGAATAGACTGAATAGCAAATAGGCAAGCAATAATAGCACCCCTCACTTTACAGGAGAAAGACTTTGTCAAAAACAGGTGACAGTATTGTCAGAGCTGATACTGTGATTAACTTTTGAGAAGTTAGTACACAGAGCTGATGCAAATAAGAGATCCTTTCTGCTATCCAGGACTAGTCAATACCCATATCAATCTATTTGAATGGCATGAAACAATAATTTCATAAATTTCAAAAGCCATAAAGTAACAAAATTTCAATGCTTGCATTATTCCAGAAAACAAATTGTGAAAACAAAACTGATATTCATTTTATATCAATCTGCTGTATTTTGCTCTAACCAAAGTGGATGAAATTGAAGTAAAATATATGGTTTTCTATTTTGTGTAGGCCATCATTCACTAAATAACTACTAAAAGTTCTGTTCTTCCAAGTTTATGCAACATTTAAGAATATTATAGAATATATTGATATGTTTACAGGTTTTTTTTATTTGCTGTTTGTGGTATAGCTGTACCTATACAATTGTAATTTCCAGGCCCATACAAACTACAAAACTATGAATTTGCTTAAATCTTTGGTTCTTGCACATTTTTCTCATGCTGACAAACAAAAGTTCAAATATTTATATAGCCTTTTAGATTCTTCCTTTATCATTTAGGGACCTAATATATGACTTTTATAGCATTGAAAATACAGAATTAAGCAGGGGCTACTTTAAGAGATGAGATTCCCTCACCAGTTTACTAAAATAAAACTACATCGGTATCGCAAATTCATCGTAATAGTTCTTTAGCTAGCCTGGTCCTAATCCAACCAATGTTACTCTTTAATAAGCAAAGTGATATATATGTCCTACTAAAGATGAAAGGAATGCAGTTAACTGTAATTGGATTGAGCAATTTCTTGGCCAGTCACAGAAATTAGGAATCAGCAAATTCAGGGGAAAGCTTTAAAATTCTGATAATTAAGAGTTAGCCTTTAACAAGTTGAAGGTTTGAATCAACAATTTCACTTCTCACTAAACACTTAAGTATGTTTATATAAGCTCAAAAAGTATCCTTTACTTGCTGGCTGATAGCTTCCATCAAAAGTGGTGTCACAATTGTTTTAAAAAGTATAATTGTGCAGTTAGTAGGTTCACAACTAAGAAGTAGTTGAATATGAAAGCTGTGTTGAAAAAGCATTGAGAAATTCATTATATGTTGTCATCAGGCTGAACATGAAAGCTGTCCTTAAGTGCATTTAAGACAAGGGCTAATCTCTCCACAAAACATTGTACCTATTATAATTATTCAGTTGTTGCTCTTAGTAAATAACCATACTAGTTGCCTTCCCGTGCATCGTCAATTTATTCCCATATTGAAGAAAATAGATTGACCATTCCTGGTTTAAAGCTCATAGATTCTGGATATTGGCTGGCTACAAATCCTTTTACTATGTTTTTGTCAAAGGCAGAATATATATAATGGAGGAATTCCAGGGAACACAATATTGTGTTAAAGGAATTCTGCTAAAGTGTTTCTTCGATATGAATTGTTTTTAAGCTGATGACTGCTTGGTGTTCCCATGATTCATTTTAATGCCATGAAATGCTTCAAATATGGAAAGTTGATTCACTCTTTTAAGCACATACAGAACATTTCCCCCTAAATAGTGAGGACTGTGTTGTTATTATTTAAACCTAAGTAAAGTATCACAGGTTTCTGCTGAGGAAGTCTTATCATGTCTTGAAATTTGTGCATAAAATATTGCATGTTCGCAAGCATTCCCATCTCACATATATTTTTCATTACAACAAGAATGTGTTGTCTTATTCCTGGTTATTTTTCTTCATGATCTGTAAAACTATCGTAACACTTACTTCAGAGAGGATATCTCTTCAAGCAACAACTATCCAGGCAGGAGGCTGAAGCAAGCAAATTAGCAAATTTACTGTGCTTGCTAAATAAATGTATTTGTCACAATCATGTCATTTACAAAACTAATTTTTGAGTTTGTTTTGATGTCTGTGGTGTGCTTATGATATAGTACTGTTATTCTCCCGTGTTTTCGAAACATTAAACTTCCATGAACACTGCACTTGATTTACCTTTTATTTTGGAATGGAACGACAAAATTGCTTATATTAAAGTCAGTGTAATGAGTATGATGTGATAGCTACAAGAGTGAGGTCCAAAGCAAAGTAAAAATTCCATTATAAGGCTTGGCTTGACTAAATAACTCATGGTCTCAGTCAGTTTGGAATGGTGGGAGCTCTCTTATTTACTGAAAGTACTAGAGCTGCACTGTCCATGGATGATCTTTTAACACTTGGTCCCTTAAATAGTTCTTTCTAAACTTCTCTCTCCACAGTAAATAGCAGGCATAGGAAAAGTGGTCTGCAAATGAAGGCAAATATGCATGTCTCAGGATAATGTTTCAAAATCCAATCTGGGTCGGTCACCGGGACCAGAAGTTTAGTCTTCCTAGCTTTTGAACTTGTGCTGGAGCTTCTCTCTACTACACATTCTGGTGAAGTTCCCTGAGGATGGGCTCCAGCATGAATCCAAAAGCTTGGAAGACTAAACCTTCCAAGGGGTTGGATGAGGGGTTGAAACCATCTTTGATGCCACAATCCCAACTGAAGTTGGGCTCCCAACTGCCAGTCTCTAAAATATCTAATATAGTATTTATGTCCTGTTTGACTGAGATGTAACTGAAAAGTCCCAACATTTTCACCATGGACTTCTTGTTAAATGACCATTCTTAGGTTCAATATTCACAACAGTGGAATGGGGAAGATAGTCAAAGGTACCCCTACAAAGGAATGCAAGTTGGTTTACTTAGTTGAACACACAATAACTCTGGAATTTTATATTATATGGTTAGGTATAGGTATCTTATGAGTCACAAAAATGCAGAATATTTTAAAGTTAGTATAACTATTCCGCTCACTCTATTTTGTTATCAAAATTATTCTGTGAAGTAGATTATCCTGTGAGAATATGATTGAACAAAGTTTGTCTTGTTAGTTTTACAAACAGAATGAGAATCCTGGACAACTAAGAATGAAACCTCTGATTTCTATTTATACAAACTGGATGCACGCCACATATTTTAAGCCACTCATGAGAAGAATTGGTTTTGAGGAACAATAAAATTAGTTTGGGTTTTAAAGGTAGTGTGATGAAAATGTGAAGTTACTTACTCCTTAAAAGTTATATGAAATATGGCTAGCTTTATCCACATATTTTGATTAGTTTACTTGAAGCAAAGTTGCATTTTATATCAACTGGCCACTCCTAAATCTCCTGGAAGGCACTTGTCATTTTAGGATGATACTCCCCTGGGTTTAGTTGACAAGACTCAAATTTCTTATTTTGAATTCAGGGAGAGCCTGTGTTTCAATCCCCAGAGCTGTCTTGTGACTGGATTAGTGATTGATGTTCCTTAACTCAGTTTATTTTAAATTATCACTATTTCCCATTTCTTTGAATTATATGGCCAGCCCAAAACAGTAAAAACAATAAAGTATAAATAAAATAGCAGCTGAGCAACAATAAATTCAATTATTTCAGCCAAGAAACCATCAGGTGGACTCCATTCTTTTTTCAGATTTTCAAATGAAAGTAGGGGATGGATAAGATTTCTTCCAGGTCCTACATTTTGTGCTTCTGTTCACCATCACAAGGAAGTTCATGAGAGATTTGAGCAAACTCCCTTTCTTTGTCTCCTGTGGCCTCAGAAGCCTGAAGCAGTGGTTCTGGGTAGTGGTGCCTTTTCATAACTGGTGGAGCCAGACAGATAATTGCAAAGTAGTTTTGTTTTTCTTAAGACCTTAGTGGTCTTAAGAAAATTCATGGAATGGTGTAAAAATTACACAATAGTTCTTAAAAACTGAAACAATATATACACAACAATGTGAAGTCAGAGCTGCCTGTACTTCAGCTGGTGTAGGTTTTCATATACTGTACATCAAGTTGTTTCCAAGAACGTAGGATGTACGCATGTATTGGTATAGTATACAAATACATGTGGACCCAAGCAGTGAGACTTTTTGTAACTAACAGATGGAAATTTGTCAATACCAGATTTTCTAAGTGTCTAACATTTTTGCTATGACATCCAGTATAGCTATAACCACTGGGACCACCATGAAAGTTTATGCCATAAACTTTCAACTTCAAATATCAGATCTTGATTCATTGTGATCTTCTCCAATTCTTTGTATTCTATTTTACTATCCCTGCATTGTCACATCAATTATCCACTTTTCTCTTCTCAACCACAGTTAAATCTGGCATGTATGTGTTATGTGCCAAGACCTTATCAGTTTGTATTCAGAAATCCCATAATCTCACAACCTTCTCATTTTCAACTATTTTTCAATTTTAAGTTCCCACCAATTTTACATTAGTGATAAGTAATTTTTTATGGATGTTCAACGGAATCATTTTGGCAATTACCAAATTATGTCATCATTTATAATCAGTTATCAGTTGATCTTCTTGCACAGAGTGTTGTATTGTTTCTTCTGCTTCTTTGCACAATTTTTACTTTAAATCATTTGATATTTTTTCAATTCTGGCCTTAATTGCTTAAGTTTGAATAGCTTGCTCTTGAGCAACCAAAATCAGTCTTTTTTAATGTTCTAGTTGTAAGCCACTGCCAAGATTTTATCTTAATCCACTTTTCCTTCAATCTTTTGTAGAAATTAACCATGTAATGTTTTTGCTTGCCAGCATTGTGTTTTTGTTAATGTTATTTCAATATTCATGTTTTGTTTCCTGTACATTCAGTAATTTCCAATTTTTAACTTGCATTAATGCTTGTTCTTGGCTGTCTTTTATATAACCAACATCCAAAATTTTCTGGAAGAGCTCATGACAAATATCATGAAAATTCTACACAGGTTTATAGAGAATATTTATAGAACACCTGAGAGACATGTACAGCAATCTAAAGAATTCAAGATCTCAAAGCATACAGAAATCTCTATTCAATTCATATTGGGAATTCAATTTTTTAAAAGTCCCCTGAACTCAAGCAAATATTCAGACCCAAATGTAATCTTACTGAATGTGCAAAATTGGTCGCAGAAAAATTGTCAAGTTGCTGGCCACAATGTAACTAAAAAATTACATAGTAGATTTCCTCTGACAAAAAATAATGAAATATACATTCCTACATTAGCCCAGAGCACTTCACAACATACAGAATTCTGTGAGTAGCAGAAGATATGTACTCATATGCACATATCTCTAGTTGTTTGGACCCCAATCAATATGTCACTATTTTAAATTATTTCTGACAATTTATTGGATATGAGCATAAACGCCAGCAGTCCATGATTTATACTGAACAAAACAAAGCTACCTCCAAAAGAAGTCAAAATCATTTTTTATTAAAACTACATACTGTTTTAGATAAACATTTCCATTTCAGTGGATTTTACTGGCCTAAACAATTGAAACATATGTGTCAGAACAAATAGCACTGTGCATGCTTTGGAATATAGTTTTTGTTGCACTGGCAGAGTTGACATTGCCACATTAGTCTGTACTTTTATCAATACTAAAGTAGTGACAGCAGGAGCAGTGCTACACAGAACATTATCCTGGTTTTTTCAAAAGAGCTGAAACAACATTTTTGCCTTTCTTAAATGCAATAATCCTAAACTTGAGAAGGGGAGAAAAGATGACATTTTATGTGGCACAATTTGCAAGTTATTGTGAATCAAAACTAATAGATTACTTAATTGCAGGAAGTCTTAATGCAAAGAACAAGCTAATGTTTGCAGAATGAATCTGTAAGTTGTCTGATACATGCCAAAGAAAATATACAGACATTATTAATACCTGCCTATATCTTTCAGACTAAAAAACTTTTCTGAACTAGAATAAAAAACTATTGTGCCTAATATTGAATGCTTAAGCCCATCAGCCACACTGGCTCATAATTCATTTGCTCTAATTGCTCACCATGCCATGCCTGCATTGAATTTGGTTAGCAAAACGAAGTATGTGCAAATAGCAAAATATCAACCTTCTCTAGTCTCCTCCCTAATATGCAGCCTCTTCCAGTCTTAGTTAATTTAATGAATGGAAGATTCCCAAGTTGAAGACGACTGGCCTAAATGAACATCCATGCTATACTTTTTGTCATAAGACACATAGATTTTTCAAATCTCAAAAAATGGATTTTGGTAATCACATGGCAGTGTTTGGATGATCATGTCCCAGGTTAATAAATAAAGTTACACTGGAATGTTGTGCACTCATGAACAATCACTTTGTTCCTCCTTCATGAGATCAAATGAACAAGTCTCAGTAAATCACAGCCTTTTACAACATCCCAATTGGGAATCAGTGTTAATGGTGTCTAACAAGCTAGAATATAGAATTCATCTTTAAACAATGGCTTCATAATTCATCTCGTTTGAAACATACTAGCTATAGTTTCTCAACCCAAACTATAGTTCACGGACATTTCTGGCTTGTTTCATCAAATATAAAAAGCAAAACACTTATGTACATGTGGGAGGATTATACATATCTCTATTTATTAAAGCCATGAAATACTTCAGATTTTATTTGGAAGAAGTGGTATGGAATGTGTAGCATTGCAAATGTAGCCCGTCTTCAACTCAGTCAAGAAGCCATGTCTGCTTCCAGGATCATATGGTGACAACAGAAACCTCCCTTGCAAAACTCAGAGGCTTGAACAGGTTATCTCTTTCCAACCAAAATAGAAGCAATGCACAGTGTTGCTGTTGATTAAGCCATAACTGGGATAAGGGACTAGATTTTCATAAAATATAAGGTTTGGTCAGTCTCAAAAGCAGTACATGAAAACCAGATTCTGTATCTGTTAAAATTAGTTATTACATTGTCTGCTCAATTCAGTATAGGTAGTATAATTTTATTATAATAAAAGAAAAAAAATCTTTATTCATACGTTGTGTTAACTGAAGGGAACATTTAAAGCCAGTAAGGTAGATTTCATACATCACAGGTTTTAATAATATACATAGCAAACTAAAACTAACCTTCATTTTTATAGTAGAAAGTAATTACTTTAATGATCAGGGATGAAGTACTGTTAACATAAGAATGTGTCACTTTCAATACCTTTGGTTGACCTGGCTGATATTTCAGCATTCCATGTGAAACTGAAAAATTTAACTGCTGAGAATTCAGAATGAGTTTTATTCCCAAAGAAAATGCACATCAAAAAATAATAATCAAAAGGCTAATTTCTTTCCCTTGTATTTAAAAAAAAACTTTTGATCACCTCTAGTGTACCTGAGCATTTTGAAGGAAATGATTAGGCTGGGATGTCTGAAGAATCACAATTATTTAAAATGGCATAATTTATTTTTCACTCCCAAAGTGCTTATATTTCTCTCTATAATTAGAAGAGCCTGGAAGACATATTTACCACAGTGAAAACACACATTTTCCCACAAGTCTAAACTTAAAGATGTATGTTAACAGAAAAGTTACTTCGAACAACTTCCAATGATAATTTTTAATTAATATGATGTACTTCACTTAAGGGATATGTACATCAAAAGAAAATGGCTTGAAAAGTAGAGGCAAAATTTCAAAGGAGATGCATGTTTGTAGATGGATTGTAATTATATTTTGTGTGTATTTCTTGTCTGGGAGAATTGAAAGCAAAGCAATAAGGGGAAAATTGACCACTATTAAATTATAATAGTTAAACAGACACCTTTTTAAAAAAGTGAGTCATCCTTCAATTCATTCTAAAATGTCCTGTCTCTCTGGTTTCTAAAATTAATTTAAAATCCACATTATCTTCTGCAATCTACATAAGAAAAATATCCCTTACCAAACTAAATTCTAGAAGGAAACCTGCAGCTCAAAAAAAATAAATAGATAGCACTGAAAAGTTGTAAGAATTATATTTTTGCAGATAACTATAGTCCAGCTATGTTTTAGAGTGCAAGTTCTTTAGTCTTGTAACAATCCGGCACAATATTGTGAGAATGTTTATAATTTATGGGAAAAAGCAGGGGTGGCAGCCAGGGTGGGGTGCGGATTACAAAGTCTTTATTGTGCTTGAAGTTAATTGTTCCAAAATTTTGCTCCCTCATTCTTTGGGGGTAGGGGTGGGGAGACACAGAAGCCAATTACATTCATTCTTCATATCTACTGTCCCAAAACTTGAGATTTCAAGGTATCTTTTAGAACTGCAGCCAGAATCAATGGCATATCCGGTGCTTGGGTTTCAATAATAGCAGACTTTTTTTTCTCTTTTTCAAAGATGTTATGATTTTTAAGTGTAACATGTTAAAGTCTTCAGTGATGATGATGATGATGATGTGCAGATTTTCCCAGGAATTCCCTGAGGAGAAAAAAATCCAGTGATTTATTGTGTCAAATATTTTGCTATTTTAGGTTCATCCATTTCCTCTTCTCCCCATATCTGTCAGCATACTACTGCATTGTATTATTCCTTTCCTGGATGGCTCAACGGTAGATTTTTTTTAATGCTGCGAGAACGGCTTATCTGAAGCACAAATGGCTTATCAAATCTGTGACCTGATCATTTTAACAGTAAACTCTTGTAGTCGTTTGCCTTTACATAGCTGGGAAGAACCTGCAACATAAAGAATGCAGTCTGGGGGGAAAAACAGGAATCTACATCTAACAATATTAAAAATAAAAAACTAGGTACTTCATCTTGACACTAAAGGTTAAGGGATAATTCCCAAGAGTTTGACTTGCTCTAAGACAAAAATACGATATAAACTGACAGGTCAAAAGAAGGGAAGCAGATACACAAACTATTCTACTCCTTCTGCTAAACATTAATGTCATAAAAACAATGTCAAAATATTCCACTGTATCTCCCCCTTATATCCCTGTAATACAAATTCTAATATCATTGCAAAAATGACCCTTCAGATGAGATGGACTACATCTGTTATAACTGCCAACCAGCTCACCCCAGTACATATGAATTACCCCTTTAATTACCGTAATATTCGAGGTAGTTCTGGGCTCTTGTAGATGTATTTATGCCTGTATCCTAGCTCTTTGTGAAATGGAACAAACTGTACTTTGTAATCACGAAAGTTCCGAGATGGGGCAGCAATGTTGTATAGCTGTGAAGATATTTAAAAGCAAATGGTTTCACCATATTAAAATTCAATACAAGATAGTACAGATAGTCCCAGTTTAAGAACAAGATCCATTTCCAAGGTCTATTCAACTATTAAGTTGACTTTATAGGTAAACTGGAACAGTACTATTGTATAATACTTATACATAGTATTGTGTAATTAAATTAAACCATTTTGTATTTAGCTTGAAGTTTGCTACCATAGACCCCACTCTTAATTATGGGTCACCCTAAAAGCAGTCTGTTCCTAGCCTGGGGACTTGCTGTAATGTACAAGTCTTTGGACCTAAGAAGTTAAATAAAAGTGGTAATTACAGAAAAAGGGTCCCTTAGCATTAATCAAAATGGTACTAATGCACTTAAAGTGAAAATATATTTTGATTATGTTTTAATGGTTCAACTTTTAATTGTTAGTTCTTTATTATCTTTTCTTTACTGTATATGCCACTCAGAGTCACAAATTTGTGAGATCAGTGGCTATATAAATATGATAAACAAACAAACTAGTCATTCTGGCCAAAGGCCATGGAATGATGAAAATTACTCTCTAATACATATGACAGGCACTTAATTTAAACTAAAGTTCAATTTTTCTCTTGTATACATTTTCCTGACTTTTCATTCTGTAGTACACAAAGAGGGGACCCCCTTTGATTGCACAGACTTAACTGTTTCTTTCTTTAAATACAGGACAGCTGTCAGCTCCCATTTCACCAATTCCAACAATGACTAAAACCAAGTTATGGAGATAACTCCAGATTACATGAGAATATAAAACCATGCACATGTCACACTATATTTTACATTCTTCTCTGATAACCCCTCAGTAGAAGATACTATACCATCTCATTCTCAGCACTTTTAAAGGCTACTGTGCAGAGATGGAAAGAACGATAGAGAAAAAGATTGCTTTGGGATTGTACAATGACAGATAAGATTGCAGTTTTGGGTCTTGGAATAAGAAGGAGCAGAAGGAGGAGCACGCAGATCTGGTCCAAGCTTTTCTAATTCATCTAGGTCTAGGATAACTGATACTTGAATGAAAACACATTTTAGAAGTAGCTTCCTTGACAATATAAAAGGCGAGTAAGACAAATTATTTGTCTCCACCTCCATTTGTCTCTCTGAAAATGCATTTCTTCCAATAGCAGCAGTCAAGTTTTGATGTATTATCAGTGATTTGCCCCACAGAAATTAAATTGCAATCATTCAAGCCCTGTTACTAATCTAGCTCTTTCAGGGTATTTATAAAGTTATGGCAGGGGCAAGAGTTAAAAAATGAAGCTGCACCTTTTTTCCAAGATGAAATGGAACCACAGGATCATCTTCAGCATGAAGAACAAGCAGAGAGCATGAAATGTGCTTCACACTGTAAAGAAACCACACACCAAACAATTAATCAGGTATATTTTAAACCTATGAAAAAATATGAATACCTATGACTTTCTTCAAGGTTAATTGTTGGAAAGTTCAGAATCACAGAATTTTATGCTTCTGCACATTATTTTATTTTACTTTTTTGAGGATTTGAAAAAATAAGTAGCTTTGCAAGTCTCCCAATGCAGATTATTTGCATTTGTGCAATTACATTCATGAAAAAATGGTTAAAATAAAATACACTGCAATTAAAAATGAAATAGCATGAAAAAAATACAAATCTTAATTTTCCAAAGAAACAACTACCCAGAAGGCTGTATCTCTGCTAGATAGAATGTTTTTCTTTGTACAATGAACGGCTGGCTTTTTCTGAAAAATGTACAGAAACGTACATTTCCAGAGCCAAGGTAGCTTACCTGGAAAAGCAGAGGTGGGTTTATTCATAGCACAATAATTCTGTGTCAACCTTTCAGAATAACAGGTTTTTTTTCCCTGTCACTGAAAACCTTAACCAGCAAGTGGTGGAGGAGTAAATAGATATTTTATTTACTTACTTCTCATCATTGGCAAACTTTATTCCACTTGATGTGATAGGGTCAAGGAAAAACCAGTCA